AAGAATTATTTAACAAATAAATGTTCTAAACAGGGCATTCTTACAATTCGAAATCGGCAGTGCACTTGATTGAGCTGAGAGGGGCTGACACAAACCATAGTCTGCATATGAGATGAAAAGGGAGGTGCATAAAGAATGAACGAATCACAGAAGGTCTGCACTTGAGTCACGTGAGAGCCTACTACTCGCATTAGGAAGTGGTGGGATCAACTCTCACCACCCTGAAACAAGCAACTTCAGCCTTCAGTGGATGACTTCTCCTGCCTCTTGCTGAGGAATATTTCTCACGGCCACCCTCCAGTCATAACCAGTCTGGAGGGACACACAGGAGAGTAGAGGTCATCTACTCTCCAAGTGCATGAGCCATCTGCCAGATTGGAAATTCAACTTGGATTTTATGATACCATTAAAATAATTAAGATGGGGGGGTCATTCATATCCCAGCCCTCAAACCCAGCCTCCTCTATGGGTAGCTGCCCGATGATACACCTCAGTAGCAGAGCACACATCGCCTGGAACCCCAGCTCCGGCAACGTCTATTTCCTCCTGCATTTGTTTTTCCTTTAAACCCAGCCTGTACAGTAACAATTCATTAAAATCAAAAGTTCTCAGTCCTCATTTAGAAAATTAAACCATAAGGAGCAGCTTGCGGATGTCTGCATTTTTTAAAATGGAAAGCTTTCCCTGCGAATATACAGTAAACAACTCTGAGCTAGCCATTGCAACTTGTCTGGAAAACGAGTTCATAATCCAAGAGGAAGAGGGTAGAACAGGGATGAGCAGGAGGAATTCCAGGTCATGAGGGGTGGGGTGTATGTGGAAGGGAGGGAGCAGAGGAAGGGGGGAGAGAGGGAGGGCGGGAGGGAGGGACTGAGAGATTCCCATACCAGTTATCAGTGGGGTTTTTGTTTTGTTTTGTTTTTTGACAGATAAAGCTGTTTGCATTAATCTTATACAACATGAGGTTTTAAAGTCCATATCCATTATGGGACAGTAAAATCATATAAGTTTTTTTCTAAATTAAAGCCATACAATTTATAATACTTTTTTATTCAACATAGAGGTGAGTTCATGTCTCAACCTGTTAAACAGAGTGAAGCAACTTAATATACTATCAAAGCACTTTAACAAGCCTAAAGATTGCTGACTGATAATTTTAGGGTATTTTCTTAAAAACTATATTGATTGACATGTTAGATTACATGTCCTGGTTAGGTTTTTGTCAGCTTGACACAAACTGGAATTACCTGGGAAAAGGAACCTCAGTTGAGAGCCTCACTGCCTGTAGACAAGGACGTTTTCTTGACTCATGATTGCTGTGGGAGGGCCTTGGGATAGTGCCACCCCTGGCAGGTGGTTTAAGAAAGCAGGCTGAGCAAGCCATGGGGAGCAGGCCAGTAGCAGCATCCTCCACGGCCGCTGCTTTAGCTCCTGCCTCCAGGAATTTCATGATACTATAATCAGGACATGTAAGCCTGATAAACCCTTTCCTTCCTAGTTGCTTTTGGCCATGGTCTTGATCACAGCAATAGAAAGCAAACTGAAACACAAATAGTCTATAGGACACATCACTCAGAGACATAGATCTTTTTCTTACAGAAGCATGACTTCGCCATCAATTCTACATATCATGATCTAGGCTAAGTCAACTTAAACAAAAGGTGTGTGGGGATTTTCTTTAAATTAGCAATGTAATTCTAAATATTTTCCTTCCTTACAAAGTGACCAATGCACATTACCAAATCATATTTTGGTTTGCTATACAGTATTCAGTAACTGTAATCAATATACAAAAAAAAAAAAACTTTTAACTCAAACCTATTGACATCAACTGGGCCCTTTGGGAAACTGAGGAAGAGGGGACTAGGTATCATTCACTTAAGGAACAGCCAAAATGCATACTTACATGTCTGAGTCTCAAAAGGTCTTTTTGTCAAGATTCATAGACAGGCACCACGTAGGAGTCTGAAAATGGAACCACCCTCCTTGTTCATCCCTACCCCCAACCCCAACTTCTGACACTTCATCTACGATGTGCTTGGTCAGGATTGCAGAGTACAGCACTTTCCAGTCATGTCGGCAATGGAACAGACTGCTTGGCTCCCTCTTCCCAGATGATTCCAGCTTGTGTCAAAGTGACCAAAAACAAACTAATTAATTAATTACAAAGGGCACCCTGTGTAACAATTGGGATGAAAATGGTGAACGGTGAGAAGGAAGTACTCTTGGTCCATGCATAGGATGCTGAGAGTGTGACTGAGACAGACAGACCAGACAGGGGTTTATTGCAATGAAACAGCTGGAAGGTGACGAGAAACCCAAGAGAACACAGAGAAATGTGTGTCCGGATGAAAGCACTAAGAGCCCCAAACCCTTGAGTGGGAAAATGTGGTTGAGCATTCTTGCAACCCAGGAAACAGCTTGGGATACCATAGGCTTCTTCACCGATGGGGAATATGGTCCATGCTTCCCCTTTCCTCCAGCATATGTCTGAAATGACAAGTAGAGCCACCCCTACACTCTGTCCTATCTTACACATAAATACCTGCAGCTATGGTCTGGATTACTTTGTGTGTGTGGGGGGGACTCAGTTCTCTCCTTTCATAATGGGTGCTGGAGATCAAATTCAAGTTGTCAGGCTTGTACAACAGAGCTTTGACTCAGTGACCATCTGTCAGAGTAGAGCCCATTATGTAGAGGGCCTTTGGGTCATGTAGGAGAAACTGCCCAGGCCAGCCTGCATGAGCATGCGTGACAGGCATTACCTCCCTAAGCCAAGCTTGTCTCTATGCCCAGAGACTGCTAAGGACAAGACACCTGACCAGAGACACCGGTGACGAAAGGCCAACACAGCAGAGCCAGCCGCCTGAACTCAGTGAGCTGTCTCACAAGCCAAGTGAGGGTCTGCTATTTATGTACCCTGGCTGCCCTAAAACCCACTGTGTGGATCAGGCAGACCTCAAACTTGTAGTGACCCTCCTCCCTCTGCCTTATAAATGCTGAGACTGTAAGCCTTCAAGGACTTCCATGCTGGTGTGTGTGTGTGTGTGTGTGTGTGTGTGTGTGTGTGTGTGTAAGGAGTAGGGTTTTTCCTCCCACTGCTGGTCTTGTCCAGCTGCCACGCCAGCCCCAATTAACACACTGAGACTCTGTATTTGATATAATGCTGTTGGCCAGGTACTAGTTTCTTATCGGCTAGCTCTGTCTTAAGTATTAACCCATTTTTATTAATTTCCACGTTGTCTTATCTTACCGGAGAGAGAGCCCACCAGCGTTCTGCTCTCTCTGTCTTCCATCTTGACTCCTCCTTCTTCTTTTCTCCTTGTCTCCTAGTCCCTCCTATCTTCCTTTCCTATTGGCCAACAGTGCTTTATTCATTAGCCAGTATGAGAAACATATTTACAGAATGACATCTCCCATCGTGTGTGTGTGCACGCGTGCTGGAAAGCAAAGTGGATGAAGTGTATATTCACTTAATAAATATTCATTGAGTATTTAAAAAATAATAAAGTTCAATTTAGACTAAATATAATTACACTATAATAAAAGTTGCATGAGAGGCCAGTGAGATGGCTCTACAAGTAAAAGCACTTGCTTTGGAAACCCAGAGACCTGAGTTCAATCCCTGGACCCACGCAGGAGAGGACTGACTCCAAAAAGTTGTCCTCTGCCCTCTCCATGTGAACCTTGGCACTTGTACCCACTTGTACACACCATGCACACATACAGTAATAATAAATGTTTAACATTATTTGCAGCTACCTGAATGTAGTCTCTGCTTATCAGAATTTTCTACTGAATATTCTCAGACTTGGATGGCTGCAAAGCCCCCAATGTAAATAGTAAAACCAAATGGCTATAAAGGGAAGTCTTCTGGGAGTAAAACATATCACACAACTTGGAGGATTATAGTGACAATTTTTAAGGTAACAAGAATTACGGGAAAAGGGAGCATGCTGGATCTCCTATCCTACATCTGAGTGGGGGGCGACTCAGCAGATGCCACAGAAACCCTGAAAGCTTCCCCAGAAAGGGAGCCTGGGCAGCCCAAGGACATCCTCACCCCATCCAAAGACATCAAGCAGGTCTTCCACCCCTCTAGGAAACAGTGTCATCACTTATAAAACATTCTACACATACACACACACACACACACACACAGTCATCACTTATAAAACATTCTACACACACACACACACAAACACACACACACAGTATTGATCATCAAATCCTCTGCAGCCCAAGGATCTCTGAACAGATGGGGAAGTCAGAAGACACTACAAGGAGCAGCTGTAAAGATTCTAGCAGCTTTTATTACAACAGTGCAGATAGTATTTCATCCAATGCTCAGCAACATCAACCCGTCATCTTCTACAAAACAGCCCAGAGAGGTCAGACTTCACATCACCTCAATAACATGTGGTCATTTCCCAGCAGACGTGTGGCATAAAGCCTGCTGTTTTGTTTGCCTATACACACATCAGAACATGCCTCACAATTAAACACTTTATTACAGAATTCTGTGACATCCAGATTTATTCATGCTTAGTATCAGCCGGTTATACCAAATACCATAAAATACAAAATGATAGGAAATATAAACATCAATTTGTAGTTCAAGTTTATAACATTTTATTTACAAAAATAGGCTGGGATCCGTCCCACACTCTTTCCTGGAGAAACCACTTTGCATCATGTGTTCCTTTAGTAGTTTCTAAGGTTGCAATGAACTCCTTCAGAGCTGTCCTTGTCAACTAGAAGCTCGGATGGAGAGGAGAGAACGTGGGAGGGGGAGAAGGGAAGGACAACGGGACGAGGAGGGCCACAAACAGTCACAGGATAAATGGCTTTACTGGAAAGACTGCTCCCGGCCCCACACACTGGTGATGAAAGCAGGCTGCTCACTCACCAATACCACACCGCTATTTACAGGAGCCGGGGCTGCTCTGGGTTCTGAAGGACACTTATTCCCAATGTGACACTGTCAGACAGCTGCTCCACTAGGACATCACTCCAAAGACAGGGTTGTGGCGGCAGATGCTGGGGCCGTATTCCTCATAGTCCTTCTTGGTGTGACAGACCTGAAAGAACTCGGGCTGCAGGAAAGCAGTGGGAGGGAGATGATGAGCAGGAGGGAAGAGGAAGCCACTGAGCAAAGGGGATGGACTATCCCCATCCAGAGGCCCCCAACCCTGACCTGGGTGACATACCAGGCAGACGCTCACTTTTTTTTTTTTTTTCACTTTTTAAAATTTACTCAGCATTTCCCAGCACTGGAAAACAATAAATTTACTCAGTTCCCACTCATTAGGATCAAATATTTGTTAGCCTGGGCTAAAAATAGCTGTTAACAAAAACTCAAGGGGGAAATATTAATAAATAAATAATCACTTGGAAAGGACCCAAGGAGGTGCTGGGGAGATGGCTAAGTTGGTACAAGCTTGTCACATAAACATGAAACCCTGAGCTCATGCACTCACTCTAGAGAAAGTGAGGTGTGGCAATGTACACCTTTAGTCCTAGTGCTGGGAAACAGACAGGTGGAGCCTTGGAGGTCCCAGGTCAAGCCAGTCTAACTAATTGGTGAGCCAGATCCTAGTAAGAACCCTGTCTCAAAAAAAAAAAAAAAAAAGTGCGGTGATTGAAAAGTGGTTTCCTCACACAGTTTGCACACTCTGCCTGTACACACACATACACACAGAAGAAGGCCAGGGTGCTCTGAATTACACACCCATGTTTATCTGTAACCCACAATTAGAAGGCTGATTGGGAATGAAATGTACAATTTAAATGATAACTAAAATATTTTTACATTAGACAGAATTTATTTGGTATGTTTAAAGCCATGCAAACAGAACACATGCTATTTAATTTTCATAGACAGTATTTATCTAAACTCAACAGAGACACACAGATGACAATAGAACACTCTAGAAAGGGACTTACAGTTGAGGCCAGCATAGAGCCTCCAAACCACACGGCATAGCGTTGCATGTGGTGTGTTATCACCTGAACCTCCACGGGCTTAGGCTGCAAAAGAAAGCAATTGCATTTAGTCTGCACAGTACATCCCATCGACCCATCTGTCAGGCGATGGGCAATGGCCTCCTCCAGTGACAGCCTCAACCACACTGAAGTGCCAGCCCCAGGAGATCCAGGAAAGGAAGTGCTTATGCCTGGCCGAGATGGCTTAGCAAGGTCAATAACAAAGTGAACCCCCAAACACTACAACAAAACACAATGCAGCGGCTACCCTCACTGCAGAGGAATCTGCTCTCACTTCCCTACCAATGCTCACCTCAGGGAGATGCCCAGGCATCCCAGCGGCTAAGAGCTGTGATGATGGACACAGCCTAGCATGAAGCAGTTGTCTCACTTTAATGAGAACATTTCTTAACCATAAATCCATCTTGTCTCTGTAGCACCTGGTCTCACACACACACACATACACACACACACCCATGCCTGATCTTGCAAAGGAGGGTATTAGTAGCCTTAAGCCTTAAGCATGTCCCCCCAATGAACGCAGGCATCCAACCCTCCAACCCCAGCTGTCCCCTGTTGGAAGACAGCCGGGCTGCACACAGCCCCCTACCTTTATCCTGCCCCCACTGAGCTCTTCACTCAGCTTTAACCGGGCGTCCACCACTCTTTTCAAGTCTCTCTGTAGACGGCGTCCAAAATCTCTGAACATTGTGGAGCCTCCAGAAAGAACGACATTCTGAAAGACAAAAGCGGATGGTGAGTGGCCTTGGGTGAGACCAAGCTGCCTGTGATGGTCCAGGACTTGCTCCTCAGCAGGCCTGCTTGTGTGACTAACACACTGACACTGACCAAGGAATCAGTCCTCCTTTCTCTCAGTCTCCCAGGGCTACCATGGCAGCCTCCCCACACCCTTCCTCACTTCCCTGAAGGCTACAGTGTCAACTGGAAAGGGACAGCGTCTGCAAAGACAGAGTAGAACTGCAGGGATGTGGAGAGATGGTCCACAGAGGAGTTACCTATCCCAGGCCAGCTTAGCCCTCTGAATAGCCATTCCTTGTCCACCTCTGTGCCAAAAATAATATCCTGTGACTAACGGCTAAAAACCGTCTTTAATCTATTAACTTCAAAGACCCCCAGCTTCCACCAAACCAAAAGACAATCATCAGACAGCATCTGAGGGAGAGCCTATAGGAAAACTTCTCCCGTCTCCCTGTATCTACTTCTCTGATGTACCCACTACTGTGCATTTTAGACTTGCCTTGGTTTATTATTTTCTTTGTTCTGTAAAACTATGAAACTGCTTTCGTGTTGGAACATGGAATTTGGCATAACCTACATCTGCACCTCTGGGCCATGGTCACTCATATTGGGCTCCAGAATAAAGCCTTATTTCCTTTAAGGTGTGAGCTGTTTATTTCATCTCCGGGGGAATCTTCCTGAGATGTTTTCCTCCTTCCTCAGAGACCTATAAAAAGGGGCCTCCAGTCCTGCTGCATGGGCTGATTCTCCCCAGAGTTCTACCATGCCATCTGTCTGTGGAGCTGGGGCCTGACCTCCTGAGTCCCCAACATGCCTGACTCTCTACCATGGTCTTAGAACTATGTCCCCCTCGAATCCCTCACCTGAGATCTTTCACTAACCACAAGTCACGGGTTATATTTTTTCCTTATGAGCATTCCACCAATCACTCCCCTCGGTGGTACTTTCCTCCACTGTAAGCAACTGAAAGCACACAGCTACTCATGCCTGCACTCTCCTCCACCCCATCCCCACCCCTGCCCCAGGGAGAACTCATGTGAGCCAAGAAACCAGAAAAGCTACACTAACTGACACACAGGCTCCTGACAAATCACTAACATTGATCTTTAACTGTTTCGCCTTAATAACCAGCCGGGCCTTCCGTTCATACTGGAATCCCTTCAGAGGGACGATGTGGAAAGAAAGCATCGGGAAACATTTTCAAATGGATCCTCCCTCTGCCCACAGCCCACAAGCACTCCAGCCTCTGTCATGTGACTGCATCAGACATTTGATGGGTGAGGAAGGGCAGGCGAGAATCATTAAACCGGCTGGCTGTTAAAATGAAAAGTAACAGTTCTATTCTCTCAGGCTACAGAATAGTATTTAGGACAATAAAAGTGAAATTGCCCTCATTTAACTTTCTGACAGAAAATATCATTTGAGAAAACTGTAAAGAAAATAAAAATCATCCTTCAAGAGGCCACAAGTCCCCAACGTTGCCTTCTGGGAGCATCTATAGCCAGGCCACTTCCTCAGCCAGCAAACACCTCACAGGTTTACGGGAAAGCTTATGTCTTACAGACCCAGGCCGGAGAGCCCAAGGTATGGCGTATGGCCCGTCTGTTCTACTTACTGCTGCCCTCAGCCAGTGAGAGTCTGCCAAGCTGGGGACCACAGTGGTGGAGGCAGGATTTGAAGGGCAGGCAGTAGAGGAAGGGCAGAGCCATGTGAAGCTACCTCAGATCTAGTCTTCTGCCTTGGAACCTATTCCAGTTCCAACCTGAGTATTTGTAGAAATTTATCCTCTAGTAATCTACCCATAGACCTGGGAACACCTACAAGGATTTCTCACTGTTCCAAGAGCTAAGCTGAGACCTCCAGGAACAACACATGACAGGCCATAACAGAGCTGAGCACAAGGCCCCTGTAGTCTCCAATCAGATGTCTTTGGGAGGGTCCCTGAGGGCGTCTGCAGATCAGATATGGAGCACTTTTGAGGAGAAATTCCAGAGCTCCCCAGTAGGGGGAGGCTCTCCAAGGCCATACCCTGACCAGCCCTTCAACAGGAGACCATTAAGCAAATGCTCCCTTTCCCGTGGTACCCACTTACTAACAGGTGTGTTGGACAAAGCAAACCACAAGTGTACCATGTGTCCTCACTTGAGCTTCGGTAGTAAAAGCACCTAGTACTAGAAGCTCTGGTGAGTAGGGGAAAGCCAGCTGCAAGGCCATCTAAATCCTCACCACCCAGACTCTCAGCCCTACTAAGCACCCACCTCCCTCCTGGTGACTTCCCAGGTCAGTGTCCTGACCATGCTGTCATCTTCTGTTGCCATGTGGAGAAACCCTCCAGACAAAGTGTGACTGTCAGAGACCAGGCTCATCAGCACAGGTTATGACATGCTTGGTGTGGCTTGTCAACAGCATTCATGTGTCAAATGTCCCCCAAAGGTGAGACAACAAGTAGCAATGCTAAAGAATGAATGTGTTCTGACCCAGATCCTCTCAGGCACAGACCTTATCCCTGCATAGCTGTTTACTGTTAGGAAGACTTTAAAAGTGTTCTTGGCATTAGTGTCCTTGGGAAAGGCCTCAAGTGGCCACTGGCTCCTCTCTCTAATATACAAGCCAATTATTCCTAGAGCAACAGATGCTGGATTCTGTCCAATTAAGAATTAACTGAGGGCTGCAGATGGACAAGGATGGGATGTGAGTTAACTGCGTGTTTCTAAGGGTACTCTGGATGGTTTTCTACTTTATCTTCTTTTCTGACCACTATAAATAAGTCCTTCTTGAAACATTCCAAACTCCAATTACTACAGCCTGTCAGAATCCTGGGGCCCTGGGCATAGCTCCTGGGGAGCCTGGGCCCTACTGGGCTCTTGCTTGCTCCCCTCTGCATGGGGAGAGGACACCTCAGTGCCAGGTTCTTCTGTGGTCACAGAAAGTCATTATTCCTGCACATGACAGCCAAAGCAAGGCACCCGCATTAGATTCCAGCACTGGACACACGGGTGCACCTAACAAAGACTTCCTGCCCTAACCTCAAAACTATGGGCTTTGTCCCTCAGAGATGATGAGACCAGTACGGAGTACGCCAGCTCCTCTTCCTACTGTACCAGACACTGCAGAAGAGCTGTCATGGGCTCAGTACTCTTCTGATGCTAAGCAGTCCATTAAGAATTAGAAGCTAACTAATCTTAACTCTCAGGAGTTAAGACATGCACTAAGCCCTATCCTGCTCTCAGAAAATACTTGGCGAATGTTAAGAATATGGACAGAGGGGGGCAGTAAAAAGGAAGCTGGGACAGGAAAAAGGGAGCGGGCACAGGAGGACATCCATGCACAGACTATATCATGTGTAAATGTGTATACAGACACTATAGTGCCAGTGACACTTAGGAAAATGAAGCCCCTGGAAAAAGCAAACAGACGATGATAACAGCAGTGAGTCACCTGAGACGTCCGTCTTTTGAGATACCGCCGGTTGTCCTGACTCTGGCTAAGCTCTCTCAGTTTCCCACCCTGTGAGCAAGCCATCTGGATCTGGCAGCCCTGCAGGCTTGCTCTGAGTTGACTTTGTTGAGGCAGAAAACTGATCAAACACAGAATGGGACTTAAACCGCAAGTCAGTTCACATTAAAGATCACGGTGCACCAGCTGGTCTGAATGGCAAGTCTACCTTCTTCACAAAGGCTTATTGGAGGGGATTGTACATATGGCCTGGTGATAATCCCAATAGTTCATCTCCATCAAGCTAGTTATCCAAAGTTATCCACTGAAGCAGAAAAGACTGGTCATTAGGAAACTTCTAATAAGCAGTTTGCCTAACACAACTCTAGCTTCACAGACCACAATACAGGACATCATCACAGTGACACCTCACACCTAGAATACATTCATTTTTTTTTCAAGGAAATGTCTTTTCTGGGTTTGGGGGTGTTACTTAGGGCAGAGAACCTGCCTTAGCATGCATAAAGCCCAGGAGCTCAACCCCAACAACAGCAAACTTCCTATTTGCATAAAAAGGAAAGTCACTGTTAAGAGCTATTTTAGTGCACTTTAGTACACAGAAAAGGGCAAATAGTCTGCCCCTCCAGTGTTCCGTTGTGTGGCTGCTGTTTCAGAGACTATAGGCATATGCTGCGTGAATTTGTCACACCATTTTTATTTGAAAACATTTTCTGTTTAGAAATAACATCAAGTTAGCACAAGTGGAGTGCCCTGTAGTGCAGGAGGACCTTCCAGGGACACTGGGCCCGTCATGCTCTCTCCTACTGCCACCACCTCCTTTTGAAGCCCTGGGATCATCACGTTCCCTCCTAGACACTTTAGATGTATTCTTATTAACACATGCTACCACCATGCAGCTGCCATCCTCATAGCCACATCCATAAATATTCTTCTTTCCCGCCCTGATATGCCAGGACACCCCTCAGCAGAGGCCCTCCTGGCATTGCCTGGAGTCTGCGCCTTACGCCCTTCCCACACTGAGGACACAGAGCCTCTTGCTGGCTATATTTGTGTCACAGACTAGAATCACTGGGAGTGGGGAACCTCAACTGAAAAAATACCCTGACCAGACTGGCCTATTGCCAAACCTTGGTGCATTATCTTGATTGGTGATTGATGTGGGAGAGCCCAGCTCGCTGTGGGTGGTGTCACCCTGGGCTGGTGGTTCTGGGTGCTATATGCAGGCTGAGCAAGCTATGGGGAGCAAGTCAGTAAGCCGCCTTCCTCTCTGGCCTCAGCTTCAGTTCCTGGTGATAGAGTACGACCAGACAATTGTAAGATGAAATAATCCCTTTCTTCCCCAAGTTGTTTCTGGTCGAGGTGTTTCACCACAGCAACAGAAGTCCTCCCCTTCCTGTTTCACTCTGCTCCTAGCTATCACAGGGCACCCACTGGCCTGCTACCCCCAGTAGCATCATCCACACAGTGGCCAGGATTCGGTCCCCGGTCAAGTGGCAGGTAACCCTACTGGCAGGTAATAGG